TTCTGGATTCAAATTCAAACAAACCATCAGCAAAGGACGTTTTGGAGAGAACTGGGGAAAACCAAATGCAGGATAAATTACATCGAGGAATTATTGCTCAAGTTGTTGATTGTGAACGTTATATTGCAATTATCTTTTAGAATGCCTTATCTATTAGAAATACTTAGTGAAGTATTTAAAGGTAAAAAAAATGTTGTCTGGGATTTGTTTTGAATGTTCCGGATGTATTTATGATTTACTTTTTCAAAGAGGAAAACTTTTTAATGAAAAAAAGAAAAAAAAGAAAAACATAGAGACACATGGTGGCGCTACAGGATAAGACGAAAACTGTACAAAGGCTGGCACAGTGAGCTTCGCTATTCAGAACAGAAAGCATCCAACCCACTGAAAAGACAGGCATTAAAGGAGCTTTGCCTACAGAGCTGCTGGAGGATACACTGTCCAGGGGGTTCCTATTAAAAACCAGAGCTTCAGCTTCCAAAATTAGGGCTGAGCTTCAATTTTTCCACAAGAGGTTGCCTAAAGGAACCATGGAGATCAGAGGGTCACTCGATCTACGAAAAAGGCAAGTTCTAATATTCCTTGTTTTGCTGGGATTGTCTCGGGCAGATACTGAATCTGCACACTATTCTGTGGCAGAGGAAACAGAAATTGGCTCCTTTGTGGCTAATCTAGCGAGGGACCTAGGGCTGGGGGTGGAGGAGCTGTCTTCACGTGAAGCCCGGGTAGTGTCTGATGATAATAAAAAGTATTTGCACCTTGATTTGCTGACTGGGGATTTGCTCCTAAATGAGAAACTAGACCGAGATGAGCTGTGTGGCTCCACCGAGCCCTGTGTGCTGCATTTTCAGGTGGTTTTGGAAAACCCTTTACAGTTTTTTCGGGTTGAGCTGCATGTCAAAGACATAAATGATCACTCCCCTACATTCCTAGATAAGGAAATACTTATTAAAATATCAGAAGGTACGACTATTGGAACTACATTCCTAATGGAGAGTGCTCAAGATTTGGATGTCGGAAGCAACAGTCTCCAAAACTACACAATTAGCCCCAATTCTCACTTCTACATTAAAATTCCAGACAGTAGTGACAGAAAGATATACCCAGAGCTGGTCCTAGATAGAGCTTTAGATTATGAACAGGAAGCTGAACTCAGATTAACACTCACAGCACTGGATGGTGGATCCCCGCCCAAGTCTGGGACAACTTTGGTTCTCATTAAGGTGTTGGACATCAATGATAATGCCCCTGAGTTTCCTCAGAGTCTCTATGAGGTGCAAGTCCCCGAGGATAGACCCATTGGCTCATGGATTGTCACCATCTCAGCTAAGGATCTGGATGCAGGAAACTATGGGAAAATTTCTTACACATTTTTCCATGCATCAGAAGATATTCGTAAAACATTTGAAATTAATCCAATATCTGGGGAAGTTAATTTGAGATCACCCCTGGATTTTGAAGTGATACAGTCCTACACTATAAATATTCAGGCAACAGATGGTGGGGGTCTTTCAGGAAAATGCACCCTTCTAGTTAAAGTTATGGATATAAACGACAATCCACCAGAAGTGACCATATCGTCGATTACAAAGAGAATTCCAGAGAATGCCTCAGAGACTCTAGTAGCTCTTTTTAGTGTAGTAGACCAAGACTCTGGAGACAATGGGAGGATGATTTGCTCTATTCAAGATAACCTCCCTTTTTTCCTGAAACCGACCTTCAAGAACTTTTTCACTCTAGTTTCTGAAAAAGCACTGGACAGAGAGAGCCAAGCAGAGTACAACATCACGATCACCGTCACAGACTTGGGGACCCCCAGGCTGAAAACCGAGTACAACATAACCGTGCTGGTCTCCGACGTCAATGACAACGCTCCCGCCTTCACCAGAACCTCCTACACCCTGTTCGTCCGCGAGAACAACAGCCCCGCCCTGCACATCGGCAGCGTCAGCGCCACAGACAGAGACTCAGGCACCAACGCCCAGGTCACCTACTCGCTGCTGCCGCCCCAGGACCCGCACCTGCCCCTCGCCTCCCTGGTCTCCATCAACACAGACAACGGCCACCTGTTCGCCCTCCGATCGCTGGACTACGAGGCCTTTCAGGAGTTCGAGTTCCGCGTGGGCGCCACAGACCGCGGGTCCCCGGCGCTGAGCAGCGAGGCGCTAGTGCGCGTGCTGGTGCTGGACGCCAACGACAATTCGCCCTTCGTGCTGTACCCGCTGCAGAACGGCTCCGCTCCCTGCACCGAGCTGGTGCCCCGGGCGGCCCAGCCTGGCTACCTGGTGACCAAGGTGGTGGCGGTGGACGGCGACTCGGGCCAGAACGCCTGGCTGTCGTACCAGCTGCTCAAGGCCACGGAGCCCGGGCTGTTCGGTGTGTGGGCGCACAATGGCGAGGTGCGCACGGCGAGGCTGCTGAGCGAACGTGAGGCGGCCAAGCATAGGCTGGTGGTGCTGGTCAAGGACAATGGCGAGCCTCCGCGCTCGGCCACCGCCACGCTGCACGTGCTACTGGTGGACGGCTTCTCGCAGCCCTACTTGCCTCTCCCTGAGGCGGTCCCCGCCCAGGCCCAGGCCGACTTGCTCACCGTCTACCTGGTAGTAGCGTTGGCCTCAGTGTCGTCGCTGTTCCTCTTGTCGGTGCTCCTGTTCGTGGCGGTGCGGCTGTTCAGGAGGAGCAGGGCTGCCTCGGTGGGTCGCTGCTCGGTGCCCGAGGGCCCCTTTCCAGGACATCTGGTGGACGTGAGCGGCACCGGGACCCTGTCCCAGAGCTACCAGTACGAGGTGTGTCTGACAGGAGGTTCCGGGACAAATGAGTTCAAATTTCTGAAGCCGATTATCCCCAATTTTCAAGTTCATGACACTGGTAAGAATATGGGGGAAATTGAGAACTTTCGAAATAGCTTTGGATTTAACATTGAATAAAACAATTTATTTTAAATTTCTAATTTTTAGTTATTCTTTGCAAGCTGATGGTACTTTTTGCATAATCTTTTGTGGATTTTTGGTTGTATTGTAGTTGCATGCATGATTATAGCTCTTGTTTTTCTCACAGTTTCTTTAAAAACCTTTATTAATGGCTATAATGACATGGAAATGTAATCTGTGTTTTCTGGTTTTTCATTTATTTGGTCAAAATGTTATATTAATGGAGTTATTGCTATTTTTGCTGTGATAATGGTATTGTTATGTAAGACAATGTTCTCAATTATTTGGATATGCAAACTAAAGTATTAAGAGCTAATGTCATTATATATGTAACTTAAATCTAGACACCATCAAAACATAAAGTAAAAATAAAAAGTGTTGCTGAATCTGGGTCGAAAATATAGTGCGTTTATCACACTATTCTCTCTGAAAATGTTCTTTAAAAAGGATAAAACAGATGCTATCTCTCCATTTTCAGTTCTGGAGAACCTTATTAATTTTTAAAATATTTACTTCATGATGAAACTTAAGTGGTCACATTGGAAATTTTTAATTTCTTAAGTAATTTATTCTGTAACTACTTTTGTTGATAATCCTGTTGTGGAGGAAGAGTCTTAAAATGCTCTGGGCCTTGCTGTCACTCTTTAGTTTTCTTAATTTAATTTTATTTATTTATGTTTTTTGAGACAGGGTCTCATTCCATTGCCCTGGCTGGAATGCAGTGGCACCATCATGGCTCACTGCAGCCTTGACTTCCTGGGTTCAGGTGATTCTCCTGCCTCAGACTCCTGAGTAGCTGGGACCAGTGGCACAGGCGACCATAGCCCGGCTAATTCTTTTGTAATTTTTTTGTACAGATGGAATATTGCCATGTTTTCCAGTCTGGTCTGGAACTCCTTGGCTCAAGCGATCTGCCCACCTTAGCTAGTCTTTTGTCTTTGTTTTTTGAGATAAAGTCTCACTTTGTTGCCCAGGCTAGAGTGTAGTGGCAGGACCTTGGCTCACTGCAGCCTTGACATCCTGGGCTCAAGAAATCCTCCTGCTTCAGCCTACTAAATAGCTCGAACTACAGGCACCCGCCATGACGCCCAGCTAAATTTTTGTATATGTGGTAGAGATGGAGTTTTGCCATGTGGCCCAGGCTAGTCTGGAACTCCTGAACTCAAGTGATCCACCTGCTTTGGCCTCCCAAAGTGCTAGGATTACAGGCATGAGCCATTACGCCCAGCCTAGTTTTCTTTAAATACACCCTATTTACTAGCTTAAATCTTGTATTGTTTATTTCTAAAGCAGAAAATAATTTAGGGTCTTATCCTGGGTAAAATAGCCTTCCATCAGATGAGTACAAAGCAAGAACTTCGTAAGAAATTGAAATGAAGATTCAAACTGTTAAAGAAAACTATTTAGTTTCACTTTCCTATTAATTATTGAGTAAATATAAAATATCGTTAATACTTTGTGGCCTCTCTCAGATGCCTACAAAGAAGGAATGAGCAGGCATTTATGGTTTATAGATGCCTCATCATGTTACATATTATAGCTCAACTCTAAAAGAAAGTTATATAGAAGATTATAGATAGAGATTTTGATAACTAGAAAGTAGTATGGATATAGGGCTAGTGTGCATATACATTTTGAAATTGCTCTTACAAGATTAAATACTATTACAGACCAGATGATGTAGTAAAATGGAATTTCACTTGCCATTGTGAAATAAGTCAAACAAATTCCAATTTCCTTAGATTTTTTTCCCTCTGTTTCATGCAATTTTCACTGATTTTATTTTTCATTGTAACAAGTAATTATTAGTTGTGTGGATTTCTTTTTTTTTTTTTTTTGAGACGGAGTCTCACTCTGTCGCCCAGGCTGGAGTGCAGTGGCCGGATCTCAGCTCACTGCAAGCTCCGCCTCCCGGCTTTACGCCATTCTCCTCCCTCAGCCTCCCGAGTAGCTGGGACTACAGGCGCCCGCCACCTGGCCCGGCTAGTTTTTTGTATTTTTTAGTAGAGACGGGGTTTCACCGTGTTAGCCAGGATGGTCTCGATCTCCTGACCTTGTGATCCACCCGTCTCGGCCTCCCAAAGTGCTGGGATTACAGGCTTGAGCCACCACGCCCGGCCTGGATTTCTTTAAATTGACATTTAAACAATAAAATCCTGAAAAGATGTTTGGGTCCCCTTTTTCCCTCAGAGACGTATGAGGCAAAACTATGCTCCTGAAAGTCACTGCTAAAGTAAAAACTGAAGTAACTAAAAACTAAAGAAAGAGAGAAGAAAGACTAGAATAAGAAAGTAGAAAAAAAGTGAAATGGAAAGAGAAATAAAAGTAGTGTATTTTTATCTTCAGTATTATCAATTATAAATGAAAATTTATAATAGTATTGAAACTATAATGTTTCTAGAAATTAGGCTAACAAAGAAGTCATAAAACCTTTATGGAAAAGTGAATGATGTCAATAAAACATTAAATGAAATAATTAAATGTCTGAATTAATTGAGACAGATGCTAGTTCCTTGATAGAACAACTTAAGAAAGATCTATGCTTCCCAAAATAATTTATAAATTCAATGCAATTTCAGTGAAATCTATCATAAGTAGTTAAGGATCTAAAAATGGTTTCTAATATTAATATAGAATATCAAGTTGCATGAAGAGCTAGGATAATTTTTAAAAGGAAATATGAGGGAATGCCTTACATTATAGATATTAGTACATACTACAAATATGAAGTAGGTAAATCTATCTGAATGATTTAGGAACAGACTCATAGACTACCAGATAAAATAGAATCCAGGGTCAGATCCTTTTATGTAAGATAACTTGGTCACAATAGAGGAGGTATCATAACAACTGGGGTTGGTGGAGAAGAGAGATTATTTAGCAAATGTTATTGCGGATATTGGCTTACTATATGCAGAAACAAAATCCCTATCTCATGTCATATAAAAACAACCTTCATATGTATGTAATAGGTGAATTTGAAATATTTGAATTGGAAGAGACAAAATAAATCTAGGTAAAAAATATTCATATCATCTTAGTTTGGGTTTGGATTTCTTAACAAGGCTTTAAAGTACAAAAAAGAAAAATACAAACTGATGAATATTACTGCCTCAAAATTAAACGATAGCACAGACAAACTAAAAGATGACAGTGAGAAGCCACCTGCAGTATTTTAACTGACAAGATTAATATTTACATTATTCAAATAACTCTTGCAAATCAACAACAACAAAGCCAGAGAGACAACAGGATTTTTCAAGACAAAGGAAAAGGAAATTCAAAAAAAGGGAAAACAGAAAGTCTGAAAATAGCTTTAAATGAAGTTCAACCCTTTTAGTTGGTGAAACATACACTAAAATTAGTAAAGATGAGAGATTTGGGTAATATCAAGTGGAATAATAGGAAATCACATGTACAGCCTATTTAGAGACCTTTCTGATAGTATTTAGTAAAATTTAATATATATATGTACTCTACAATTCAGCAATTTTATTGGAGTGTGTAAGCCAGAAAACTTACAAAGCTTTACAAAATGATGTATATAAGAATATTCATCTTAGGAAAATGAAGAATAGGACTCCACTTGCATATCTATCAGTAAAGCAATTGATAAAATGTGTAATATGTTAGTGAAGGATTATTATGCAGTGATCAAAAGGAGTTAGCTAGACATGTAATCACATGAATAAATCTCAAATGTTTTAAAAGAAAAAAGAGACAAAGATTTACAGTACAGTGATATACACAATATCTTATATTTATAGAAATATGCAAATATATCAATACACATTATGAAGGGAGAGAAGAGAGAATATAGAAAAGCTATTTATGTATATATAGGGGAACAAGGGGTATAGAAAGAAGTGAGAATGAATACTAATGTAAATGGCAGTTGTCTCTTCCAAGAGATTGTTTAAATTCATTATGTCATTGTAGAATTGATTTAGTATTGACCAACTGAAGTTGTTTAAAAATACGTATTATTTCTGTTGCCTTCCAAAATAATCAGTTGCCCATAGAATATGAAAGCTAAGAGTTTACTTGTAATTTTTAGTTGCAACAATATCCCTGAGACTTCACATTTTTAACAAAGTTGATAAAAATTATGTAGCACAATGATTTCACTGAAAACAATTAGCTATTAAGACATTAATACATTGTCAGGTTAGAGTTAATGTTAAAAGGAAACCCAGGGAGATAAACAAGTCCAAAATCTACTTTTTCCTAGGGAATCCTGGAAAACTTGAACCTCTGTTAATAAGCATGGACCCCTAAGAGCCAAACCCTTGGAGTGAGAGTAAACTGGAAATGCATGAGCCGTTGTGGGGAATTTCAGCCTTGAACTTGATTTTTAGCCTTTAACTTGATTTTTAGCCTTAAACTTGATTTAAGGTGATCATCGACAGGTAGTGCTCCAGGAACTGATAGAATCAAATGCAGATCTTTAATGAAATCTGACTTCTTATAGTGAATGTGAATGTGACTTCTTACAGTTTTGAATGTTTAAATGTTTATTCACTCTAAGCCTCAAATCATTCGTACAACTAGTTTTTTATGTTCTTAACATAAACAGTCGAAGATAAGTGTATACACAAGGTAACATGACACTATGAGTGACAGCCAGCAGAGAAAAGGAACATAAAAATAAACTTGTAAGCATTTCAAATATTGTAATTATCAGACACAGTCTGTAATATGCTAGGTAATTTAATTGAAATAAAAGTTAAATTTGAAGGTGTACAAGGAAAAATACTATAAAATTTGACAGATAAGAAAACAAATAGAACTCCTAGAAATGAAAAACTATAATGATCAAAATTTTAAACCAACTAGAAAATTTAATAGAAAATTAGATACAGCTAAACAAATAATTACTGAAGAGAAAGATAGACAAGGATATAATTTATCCAATATGTAGGTCATGAAGTTGACAAGATGAAAAATACAGAAGAGAATATTAGAAACAGAGGATAAAGTAAAAAAGCTTAACATATATTTAACCAGAACCCAAGGAGATAAGAGATAAATTGTATCAGAAGCAATAAAGAAATAATAATTTGAATTCTTCAAAATTGATGAAAACATCAATAAGCAGATTTAAGAGACCTAAATAAACCTAACAGGATAAATTTTAAAAGATATTCGTATCTAGAAACATTATATTGAAAGCTCAGAAAACCAAAGAAAAAGAGAAATCTTTTTTTCAAAAGCCAAGGGAAGAGGACACTGAACCCTCAAACACACGACAGACTGACAGCTATGCTCCATGTAGCAATGGAAAATAATAGAAAGGTATCTTTAGTGTACTGAAGGAAGTTAGCAAACCTTTCTACCTAAATGATCTTTGCATGTAAGAGCCATTAAATGAGAGCATGAAATCAACTTGGTATCAATTTAATTTTAAATTATTCCAGATGATAAGAAAGAAGTAGCATTTCATCCCTTAAATGTGACTTCTTTTAATTTTCTTCTTTGCCCATCCCTTGCAACAATTCTGAGTCCAAGAGTTTGACCTACCTCTGTTTCTAGCCTTCTTCATCTCTAATGACACTCACTTCTACTCTAGCCTAGTCACCTATAATCATGGCCTCTCTCTGGAGATGGTAGTCTCTGAAAACTACGTCATGTCTGAAGTCACAAATTCAAATATACTTCTTTTAATCTGCAACGTATTATCTTTCTTGAAGAGATTTAATCACCATTTATGCCAATAAATCCCAAATGTGACTCTATAGCCCAAATGTCTTTCTTCAACTACATTTATGTAATAGAAGCTAATTTATATAACTATCTATATGGATGCTCAAACTCAACAGTTTTAAGTTAAAATTGTTCCCTTCCTCAAAACTAAATATACCTTCTCCAGTTCCGTATCTGTTCCTCTTTCTTCTGCTCTTTCTGTGTTTATTAGTTAATAGAACCAACAGTCACTCAGTTGCCTAAGCCTGAAGACAAAGTACATTTACCTTCATGCCTTTCTAACCCACTCCTTCTATGTTTATCACCATATACCCTATTGTTTTATCATTCTAATACAACCCCTTCACTGCATTTCTAGTTGAGGCCAATGTTTCCTCTTACTTGTATTATTGCAACCATTTGTAATCAATCTCTCACCTTTAATCTTATTCCTCTCTAATTTATTCTCAACTCTGAAACAGGATAATGTTTTTAAAAAGTAGAAACATAATCATGTCACTTTTCTGTTTTAATTATAATCCCTTTAATAACCCTACATTTCTTCTGACGTAAAGCCCAAATTCCTTGACATAGTTACAAAATATTTTCTTATCTTTCCAATTTCAACTCTTACCATTTCTCTCCTCTTGCTCTATGCCTTAGCCATATTGATTTTATTTTATTTCTTCCAAATATTTCTCTTTATTTGGATTTGCACAATCTTGTTTTTAGTTTTCCTGAACAATTTTACCCCATACCCAATTTTTGTTTAAAGTACTCCTACTAATTTTTAATGTATCAATTTAGAATATACTTTCTCCAGAAAAATTTGTCTTGTATTTCCAAATTCTGGTTAGATAACCATCATCTATGCCCTTGTAGTAGCATGAACTTTCTTTATCATGACATTCATTGTGTTCTATTTAAAATATGTGGTCATTTTTCTGTCTCCCTCTTGCGTGGCAGAAACTATGTCTGTTTACCATTCTATCCCTAACACTTATGACCATTCCTTGCACAAAGTATATTCTCAATAACTATCTGCTAAACTAATTAATTAATAGATAGATAGACATACTTAGAATTGTGCCTATGGAAAGTCTGGGTCTGCAAATGATGAAATTCAGTTTCACAACTAAACTGAGGTCTAATTTGTTCACATTTTTAAAAATGTTTAACTGGACTTGCTCTTACATTAAAAACCAGAAATGTTTTACTTTACTCACTACTTTTGAGCATTTATTTTCTACTCCTGCCAGCTAAGTCTCCTACTGAGTCTCCCTAAATAAACGGTACCATTTATGCAGTTCAAAATGTCCAACCTTTCTAAAGCAACTGTTTTCGTATACCAGGTTCATTTTCAAGTAGATGATCTCATTCTTCTTTTCTGAGTAGTTATGGAGATAGCTAAGACCTCTAATTCTCATTTCCAATTTTCCTAAAAATCTCTTGCCTACTAAGTCAATTACATGTAAGAGTATTCTTCACTATCTTTAGTTGTTTAACATATTGTCTTCACAGAGAGATCATAACTCGTTTGAGGCAGGGGCTACATCTTAAATATGCTTCTTACATCTATACCACAGCTGTAGCAGATTGTGGCTGATGATGGAAAGGTAATAGCATCACGTATCACAAAAATGCAACTCGGAAAATAGGCATATAGGAGGACAATATAATTTAAATTTATTGACAAACACTCAAGAAAAACTAATATTTTGTCTGAAACATATTGGAATTTATCTAAAACCTGAAAATCTGCAGAGTCGCATGGTGGCGCTGCAGGATAAGATGGTGAAATTTTTGTAACAGCAGATGCTCTGGTTTCCCTTAACCATGGGAACTGAAAGCGCTGGGAAACCAGGAGAAAAGAGGCTTTCAAAAGGTAGGGCACCACCAACACCTTCGCGACAGGATTACGAGTTTCTAGATTCCCAAAGGTCCAGGCTGACAGGTGAGAGGAGCAACTTTAACAGCTGCTAGAGACTGAGTTGAAACGTTTTCGCCAGAAAGACGTTTGGCTAAGAAGCCATGGAGCCGGGAAAGGGAAGAGCTCAGCGGACAAGGCAAGTGCTGCTTTTCTTTGTTTTCCTGGGAGGGTCTTTGGTGTGTTCTGAGACCTGGAGCTATTCCACAGCAGAGGAAATGGAGGTCGGCACATTTATAGCCAACGTGGTGAAAGACATGGGTTTGGATGTGGAAGACCTGGTTGCACGGGGCGCCAGAGTCATCTTTGACGACTATAAACCTTATTTGCGATTGGATCCACAAAACGGCGACTTGCTCTTAAACGAGCAGCTGGACCGGGAGGCACTTTGTGATCTCACAGAGCCTTGTATATTGCATTTCCAGGTGTTATTTGAAAATCCGTTGCAATTTTTTCGGGCTGAGCTTTTGGTCAAAGACATAAATGATCACACTCCCACGTTCCTAAATAATCATATACTTCTAAAAGTCTCCGAAGGTACTACTCTAGGAACTTTATTCCAAATAGATAGTGCTCAGGACTTGGATGTGGGAAGGAATGGTGTTCAAAACTATACAATAAGTCCCAATCCCCATTTCCACCTTAAATTACGACACAGTGATGAGGGCAGAAAATATCCAGAGTTGGTACTGGACCAATCCCTGGATCGAGAAAAGGAGTCTGAGCTTAGTTTAACGCTAACAGCCGTGGATGGCGGGTCTCCGCCCAGGTCTGGGACTACACTGATTAACGTTGTGGTCCTGGACATCAATGACAATGCCCCTGAATTTGAGAAGCCAGTCTATGAAGTTCATGTACCTGAGAGCAGCCCTCTGGACTCCTTGATCATAAAAGTGTCTGCTACAGATTTAGATGCAGGAATAAATGGAGAACTGTCTTATTCATTTTCCCACGTCTCCAGAGATGTACGGAAAACATTTGAAATCCATCCAATTTCTGGCGAAGTCTGTTTAAAAGCACCTCTAGATTTCGAGATTATTCAATCTTACATCATAAACATTCAGGCCATTGACAGTGGGAGCCTTTCTGGAAAATCAAACATTTTAGTTCGGGTTGTAGATGTGAATGACAACCCGCCAGAAATAGCCATGACATCTCTTACCAGCCCCATACCGGAAAACTCTTCACCTGAGATGGTGGTCGCTGTCTTCAGCATACGAGACCAAGACTCTGGAGACAATGGGAGAATGGTTTGCTCAATTCAGGACAACCTCCCCTTTGTCTTGAAGCCTACCTTCAAGAATTTTTACGCTCTGGTAACAGAGCACCCACTGGACAGAGAGATCAGAAATGAATATAACATTACCATCACCGTGACCGACTTGGGGACACCCAGGCTGAAAACCGAGCACAACATAACCGTGCTGGTCTCCGACGTCAATGACAACGCCCCCGCCTTCACCCAAACCTCCTACACCCTGTTCGTCCGCGAGAACAACAGCCCCGCCCTGCACATTGGCAGCGTCAGCGCCACAGACAGAGATTCAAGCACCAACGCCGAGGTCACCTACTCGCTGCTGCCGTCCCAGGACCCTCACCTGCCCCTCCCCTCCCTGGTCTCCATCAACGCAGACAATGGCCACCTATTCGCCCTTAGGTCGCTGGACTACGAGGCCCTGCAGGCGTTCGAGTTCCGCGTGGGCGCCACAGACCGCGGGTCCCCGGCGCTGAGCAGCGAGGCGCTGGTGCGCGTGCTGGTGTTGGACGCCAACGACAACTCGCCCTTCCTGCTGTACCCGCTGCAGAACGGCTCCGCTCCCTGCACTGAGCTGGTGCCCCGGGCGGCCGAGCCGGGCTACCTGGTGACCAAGGTGGTGGCAGTGGACGGCGACTCGGGCCAGAACGCCTGGCTGTCCTACCAGTTGCTCAAGGCCACGGAGCCCGGGCTGTTCGGTGTGTGGGCGCACAATGGCGAGGTGCGCACTGCCAGGCTGCTGAGCGAGCGCGACGCGGTCAAGCACAGGCTGGTGGTGCTGGTCAAGGACAATGGCGAGCCTCCGCGCTCGGCCACCGCCACGCTGCACTTGCTCCTGGTGGACGGCTTCTCCCAGCCCTACCTGCCTCTCCCTGAGGCGGCCCCGGCCCAGGCCCGGGCCGACTCGCTCACCATCTACCTTGTGGTGGCGTTGGCCTCGGTGTCTTCGCTCTTCCTCTTGTCGGTGCTCCTGTTCGTGGCGGTGCGGCTGTGCAGGAGGAGCAGGGCGGCCTCGGTGGGCCGCTGCTCGGTGCCCGAGGGCCCCTTTCCAGGGCATCTGGTGGACGTGAGCGGCACCGGGACCCTGTCCCAGAGCTACCAGTACGAGGTGTGTCTGACTGGAGGCTCCGGGACAAATGAGTTCAAGTTCCTGAAGCCGATAATTCCCAATCTGCTGCCCCGGGACAGCGAAATGGAGAAAGCCCCACCTTTCTGAATGGCATGGAATTCAATTAGGGATCTGATTATGATGCAGAACTTTTAGAATGAGTCTATTTCTTTGAAATCTTTTTGTTATGTAGAGTTTTTCATTTTGGGTAACTGCATTTTATTCAAGAGTTTTCAGAAGTTACAAGAATTTAAGACTATTTTTTGTTGTTTTAATCGTGAAAAAATTGAAAGCTGGAATTTACTTAGTCATTGTTTTGAAATACAACCTCAAATAATATGTTCACATACACATTATTTTCCCTTCAAGTTTAATTGCACACTGGGCTCATTCCTATTTTCTGAGTGTTCGGACTGTGGATCCTCTAACCAAAGCAGTTTTTATATGATTGAGAATATTATTATAGAGGTAAATGCATGATATTAACAAAAACATAATTGCTTGTTATCTCGTTAGGTTGGTTTCTAAGATGTTATCTAATTTAGATTTCTTTTTTTAAAACCTATAATCTTTTCATTCTACTTTTCTGGCAAACATTGCAGAGAATTTTTCCTGTACTGAGGGGTTTTTTTTTTTCATAATTATGTGTGAACCATATATATGCTAGTAGATGTTGTTTTATTTAAATATATTCAAAACCTTGTTTGGATTAAGATGTATATATCCCGCTCATGCTCCTTTTGTTGTCTGAGAACTTCTCTATATTACCCAAGAGAGGCGATCACTAGTGTGATGCTTATTCCATTGCAGGCCTTCTTTTCTTACACCTCCCCCCCCCCCATATATTTTTTTAAGGGGTGGGGTCTTGCCATGTCACATGGGCTAGTCTTGAACTCCTGGGCTTTGGTGATCTTACCACATTAGCTTCCCAAAGTGTTGGGATTATAGGCAAGAGCCCTGATCACTTTTTATTGGTCCTGTGATAGATTCCTTATTTAAGCTGGAATAGCTACATTCTCCAAACCCCTAAATTTGTGATTGAGATATAGTTCATCTACTTTTTCCTCTTGAATAAATGTTGAATGTGTGCTGAGGTAGCCATGTTTATAAGTTTCTAGATAGAGAGAAAAAGAGGGAGAGAAAATGGAAGGAAAGTAAAAGTGAAAAGGAATAAGAGTGGAGAAGGCAGAAGCCTAGAAAACAGTAGAGACTAAAATAGCTACTTAGTTCTAGACCTGTCCACCTAAGTTCAGTTCCTCCTAAGTCCCCAATGTCTAATTGCCCTTGGGTTCTACAGTAAGACTCCATTGCTAATACTAAAATTCCTTTGTTTAACCTATCTTGAAGTGGGATTTCTTGAAATCAGAAGAGACTTGAAAGGTTTGTACAACCTTGAGTACTCAATTAGACTATCTACCTTGAAACCCTGGTCTTTTATTGCATGCTTCTAACGTTAACTTAATGAATGAAATACAGGATGTACAAGCCTAGAGATAACAAATCTATACTAGAGGCTTATGTAACAAAATTTAAATTTGTAAATAATTTATGAGGTCTTTCAACAGAAAAATGCTACAAAGGGCTTTATGAAATGTCTCATTAACTTAACTTTCCCTCCATTATTTTATATGTCCCAGGATTACTTTTAAATAATACTTTTAGTTTAAATAATAATAATAACACTAAAATTGTTAAGTTTTAGGTTTCTGTACCTTTTCTCAGGATCATCATACCTTCCTTAGCAGACTCTTTCTTTTAAAAATTGCTTGTTAAGCTCAGTGTGAACAAAATTATTTTTGTCATGTAATGTAAAATCTTCTTGCTCCATAAATAATCCCAATTTATAAATAATATAGATTGACTCATGATTTCAGTTATAGTAATAAACATTTAATTAATATACCCTATTGCTAGAAAACCTCATGAAAAAATTTAAGTTTCTGCCAAGCCTAGGAGCTAAGATCTTAGAAAGGAGAAACTTTAACCAAGAGAAGAAAGATGGGAATGAAAAACTAACTTTGATCCATTAGGTTACTGACATAGGTACAAGCTTCTATCCCATTAATATTAAAAAATGCATAGACATTCAGGACGCATTTTCTTGGACACATAATAGTGAATTTGGATCCATGACCAATATATTTCTATAAGGAAAATTGTCCATCAGATTTTGACTGTGACTGGCATGTTCTCATATTTTGAAAGTTTAATCGAATTTGTTTGTATAGAAGAAAACATTCTAAAGTAGAATGTTGATTTGAGCTATTTATACCTTAAGAGAAACCAATATAAACCACAGTTCTTACACTTGGCTCATCCTTAGTTTTCTCAGTTAGCTAGGTAATTAGACTACCAGAACACATAATAGTGTCTATTATTTAAACATTGTGAGTAAAACATTGGTTAAAGTTGGCACAGTTGGGAAGACCCCCAAGTCTCCTCCCCGAAAATGTTTTCTCTTTCCTTAGAAGTAAGAATTTCAGTTCCATGCTAGGGTTTCAGGATTCCAATGAATCCACAAGAGATATATGATTGCTTACTAAAAATGAGTTGAGATCTTCTCCAGTTGGGAATATGCTTAACCTGCTATTTCAGGTGAACTTAACATATTTTCTTCCGCATTTTACTTTTTACTTTAACTTCAGCCTTTATATCCATGATCTTAGCTGTCTCCCTCTTAAAGGTTTCAGTGACTCTCAGCTTCAACAGTGTGTATCTCATTATTAACAATAGATGGTGATGCTCTTTACAAATTATTTTAGATACTGTAACAATTCAACATAGCAAGCTCACAGTCCTTAGACAATATTCACAAATAAGTTATCCACAATTCCTTAAGCTACCTATTGAGTTTGCATAATAAACCAGCTTTATCTAGTATATCACTTAAGTTCATACCCCTGAAATGTTAGAATGAATCTCTTCATCTACTGTGCTAGCAGTCATTAGACCCATCAAAGAGAAGAGGCTTTCTTAACAGAAAATTGCGTTGTGGCAAGGATTGATTCCCAGAGCAGACTGCCTACTGACCCAACATGGGCATCCAGACCCTGAAGGCTGTTGGTGTTGGAGAAATGGAGGCTGAAAAGGAGCATTTTCCTAGAATAAGGCAAGTGCTGCTTCTCTTTGTTATGCTGTCTCAGACTTGCGCGGAGAGGAATGTTTATACTGTAGCAGAAGAAACAGAAAGCGGTTCTTTTGTGGCCAATGTAGCAAAGGACCTAGGGCTAGAAGTAAGAGAAATATCCCGGCGGAGGGCTCCTGTCATTTTAAACAATAACAAAAAATATTTTCAGCTGAACCTTCAGACTGGAGAACTGCAAGTAAATGAGAAACGGAATCAGGAAGAATTGTGTGACCTCACTGAGCCTTGTGTGCTGCAATTCCAAGTGTTACTGGAAGAACCTTTGGAGGTATATAGGTTTAAACTTTTGGTCAGTGACATAAATGACAATTCCCCTGTATTCCCAGAAGTAGAAATTATTTTGAAAATCATGGAAAATACTCCTCCAGGAACTGTGTTTCCTCTGAAAAACACACAAGATTTGGATGTGGGCATCAATAACACTCAAAACTACACCATCAACCCCAACTCCCATGTCCACATTCTCACCCAAAATGGCAGTGAAGGCAGAAAATACCCAGAGCTGGTTCTGGACAAAGCCCTGGATCGGGAGGAGCAGGCTGAGTTCGGGTTAACTCTCATGGCAGTAAATGGCGAGGCTTCTCCCAGAACTGGAACTGCTCTGGTCCTCGTTGAAACCTTGGACATCAATGGCAATGCGCTTGAGTGTGTGCTGTCACTCTATCAGGTGCAGATATCAGAAAACAGCCCCCTGGAACCCCTTGTTGCCACTGTTTCCGCTAGAGATTTAGACATGGGAATTAATGGTGAAATATTCTACTCACTTTTTATGGTGATGAAGAGATTTCTAAGACATTTGCACTTAATGAACGAACGGGAGAAATTAAAATGATCAGAAAATTAGATTTTGAAAAAATTGTGTCATATGAGGTGGATCTTAAAGCCTGTGATGGGGCAGGTCTTTATGGAAAATGTGCCGTCATAATACAGGTGGTAGATATCAACGATAACGCTCCAGAACTGACCATGGCTTCATTCACAAGCCCCATCCGCGAAAATTCTCCCGAGATGTGGTAGCTCTTTTCAGCATTCCAGACCGAGATTCTGGGGAAAATGGAAGAATAGTTTGCGCAATTCAAAATGATGTTCCGTTCATGCTGAAACCTTCCGTTGAGAATTTCTACTGACTGTTAACAGAAGGACTACTGGACAGAGAGTTTAGAGCCGAGTACAACTCAACATCACAGCCTTGGACTAGGGAACGCCTAGGCTGAAAACCGAGTACAACATAACTGTGCTGGTCTCCTAAGTCAATGACAACGCTCCCGCCTTCACCCAAACCTCCTACATCCTGTTCGTCCTCGAGAACAACAGCCCCGCCCTGCACATGGGCAGCGTCAGCGCCACAGGCACCAACGCCCAGGTCACACACTCGCTGCTGCCGCCACCGAACCTGCACCTGCCCCTCGCCTCCCTAGTCTCCATCAACACAGAAAACGGCCACCTGTTTGCCCTCCGGTCGCTGGACTACGAGTCTCTGCAGGGGTTCGAGTTCCGCGTTGGCGCCACAGACCGCGGCTCCCTGGCGCTGAGCAGTGAGGCGCTGGTGCAGGTGCTGGTGCTGGACGCCAGCGACAACTTGCCCTTCGTGCTGTACCCGCTGCAGAACGGCTCCGGGCCCTGCACCGAGCTGGTGCCCCGGGCGGCCGAACCGGGCTACCTGGTGACCAAGGTGGTGGCGGTGGACGGCGACTGGGGCCAGAACGCCTGGCTGTCGTACCTGCTGCTCAAGGCCACGGAGCCCGGGCTGTTCGCTGTGTGGGTGCACAATGGCAAGGTGCACACGGCCAGGCTGCTGAGCGAGAGTGACGTGGCCAAGCGCAGGCTGGTGGTCCTGGTCAAGGACAATGGCGAGCCTCCGCGCTCGGCCACCGCCACGCTGCACGTGCTCCTGGTGGATGACTTCTCCCAGTCCTATCTGGCGCTCCCAGAGGCGGCCCCAGCCCAGGCCCAGGGCGACTTGCTCACCGTCCAGCTGGTGATGGCGTTGGCCTTGGTGTGGTCGCTCTTCCTCTCTCAGTGCTCCTGTTCGTGGCGGTGCGGCAGTGTAGGAGGAGCAGGGTGGCCTCGGTGGGTCGCTGCTCGGTGCCCGAGGACCCCTTTCCAGGCATCTGGTGGACATGAGCCGCACCAGGACCCTATCCCAGAGGTACCAGTATGAAGTGTGTCTGACTGGAAGCTCCCCGACAAATGAGTTCAAATTCCTGAAGTCTGTTACCCCTAAGCATCCGGGCGCTCTGAATGACGGTAGGATAAGTCCAACTTTGTAAATGGTTTTGGATTCAATTAAGAATCTGTATATTTTTCAGAGCATTAAGGATAAAGGTTAGTTCTTTATCAATATATTAAGTCTCTGTTATGTTTTTTGTTCTATACAGATTTTCTAAGATTTTACTGCTTTCATTTTCCTAGTTAAGATTAGACATTTTCTTTGATTATTTGTTCATACTTAGAGTCCTTTTATCATGTCCATTTTGATGAATACAACTTTCAAGTTTACTCACTAATGAAAAGTCATATTTGTTCAATTTATCAACTTCTCAGAATCACAGGCTGTTGATTTGAAGATTCCAGCCCCATTCTGTTTCATTAAAGAAAGCTTTTCTAAACTTTTGATGCTTAGAAGACAAGAACGATGATATAGTGATTATAAGTACATACTCTGTTTAATCTGTCTTATGCTTACCTGTCTTGAATTTTTTAATGGAGAAGTGTCTGCAAAAATTGCATGGTTTTATTTCACAATAGCATGACGTGGGAAAGACTGCATTTTTTCCCAAACTTAAAGACTTTTCTGCTCTTTTTATAACCTTCATTATATAACATATATAAGCATTAGTAGTATTATTATTGAGACAGAGTTTCACTCTTGTCACCCAGGCTGGAGTGCAATGGCGCAATCTCGCTCACTGCAACCTCGCTTCCCCAGTTCAAGTGATTCTCCTGCCCCAGCCTCCCGAGTAGCTGGGATTACAGGCCTCTTGTTTTAGTAGAGATGGAGTTTCACCATGTTGGCCAAACTCAAAGTGGCTCCTGGAGTTTGGCTGGTCTCAAACTCCTGACCTCAAGTGATACACTCGCCTCTGCCTCCCAAAGTGTGGGATTACAGGCATGAGCCACCTCGCCCAGCCATATGAGCATTATTTAATGATTATTAGATTATCTCAAGATTTAAAAAATCATAGCTCCCTTTTGTAGTGTCTATCTAGCCCACCTGATCTTTTTCTGGAAACTTCTCCCTGTCTTCAGCAGAAGTGTAATGTTGCAGCCACATTTATGTACACACATACAGCCATTATATGACCCAACTCCCTCTGTGATTTCAAACACAAAAATAAGATGATCTTAGCTGGCCTAATCTGATTCTCTCTATTTAAAAAAAAAATGGCTTTAGAAACCAGATACAATATAGTCTCTTTGTTAGGAACATAACCAGAAAGTGGTGTCATATCTGGCTAAACACCTGAAAAGAAATACAGGACATCAATCTACTGAGAGACAAGAAAAAAGAAGATATCAAAAGAATGACCTTGTTGTAGATTTTCCTGTTTTAGATTTTCCAGTCCCTCCCAAGTCTGCTTTTCCCTTGGGTTTTTGGAGACAAATATGTGCTCTTTAATACATTTCCTCTAATTAAGAGACCTAAGTGAGGTTTTTGTTGTCAAAAGCATATTTAGATGTTCTTGCATTGTTGGTAAGTCAGACCTTTCTTACTATTGAGTTTTTATTGTGGCTTTTCATATTAATATGACAACATTTGGGATCAAGGAGGTTGTAAAATATTAGTAGTCTTTAAGGGGCATGCACTAGGTTTTCTAGAATATATAATTTTGAAAAAACTGAAGGATCTTTCCAATGGTACAGTCTTTGAAATGTTTAATAGAAAGTCTTAGAAAATTTTATTATATGAGCATTTTGAATATCATAAGTGTCATAATAACTTTACTGTAAAAAAACCTTGGCAATGAAAAATGTGTGTCTAAAAGAGACATAATCATTATATTTAGGGTCATGATAATCTTGTTATGGTGTTTCTTTCTATTATATAATATATCCCTTTCTTATGGGTAGCTAGGTTATTTTGCCACTTAATGAAATGACATTTTAGGCCATTCTGAGTTACTTCTCGTTACTATCTAAAGGGCATAGGAAATACCTACCTTATGAACATGCTGTCTTTGTTTATCCATCTTATATAATGGACTTGAATCCCAGCAGAAGAGGGGACTTCTACAGTAGGAGGAGAACCTATCTGTCAGCATTTTTAAATTAATTGTGATTCATTAATGTATCTATTTAACAAATATTTATTGAGCACCTATCGTGTGCCGGGGATTATTTTAGATATTGGCGATGCAGCAGTGAACAAAATGAAGTTCTAACACATGAGATTGAAACAGAAAGGAAACAATGAAATGAGTACATCTATACTACGTCTGATGATAATAAATCTGAGAGAGACAAGGCAGGGCCAGCCAGGTACAGCAACTCGTGCCTATAACCTCAGCACTTTGGGAGGCTGTGGCGGGAGGATTTCTTGAGCTCAGAAATTTGAGACCAGCCTGGGCAACATAGCAAGACCTCATCTTCACAAATAATTAAAACATTAGCCAGGCATGGTGATGCGCAACTGTGGTCCCAGCTACAGTTGCTGAGGTGGGAGGATCGCTTAAGCCTGGGCAGCTGAGGCTGCAACGAGCAGTGATTGTGCCACTGCATTCACTACTGGGCAATAGAGCAGGACCCCATCTCAAAAAAAAAAAAAAAAAAAAAAAAAAGAAAAAGGAAAAGGAAAAAGGAAAAGAAAAAAAAAGAAAAAGCAAAGTAAGAGATATAGAAAGTGCCTTCCTATGTTTTTTTCCAAGTTTAAAATTTTCATAAAATTGTAACTCTCTGACTTTATGTAGAAAGGCTATCACCCTGGAATGAACATGTAGCTTTTTCTTGATGTAATTCAACCAATGGGAGCACAATTCTGGTACACAGGCTGTCTAGAACTTGAAAGAAATCAAAGAATTCATTTTGTTTTGATGAGAAAATGTTAAGAAATCACGTGGCTATGGGTTATTATTATTATAAGATGACTGATCCCTATTATGTCTTCTTTCACTTCTCAATTTGCCTCAGAGCACCCCACCCAGACTACAGGCTCTGGACGGTGGGGACCATGTCTGGGTTGTTTACTGATGCGTATCATAATTTGGCACACAGAGACCAAAAATACCCCTTTGAATGAAGAAATTAATAATTATAATTGCGTGATATTGTGATTACATCATTTTCTCCCATTTTCCAAACTCCTAATAGAATGGAGAATAGATCAATTGTAGCAATTCGTTTCGAAGTAAAGACAACGCATGGTGGCGCTGCAGGCTAAGGCTTCAAAAAAAGGAAACGAAGCCCATGAAATGCTACGAGCTACTTCAGACCTTTTTCAGCCTAAGGGGGGGAAGTCCGTTAGCAGAGCACGGACCAGTGTCTCCGGAGAAAGCTATTCTCCTACATTTCCGGACAGGTTATCAACGGGCAGATCGATCACTGCCTCTGTCCCATCGCTCCTTGAAGTAGCACTGACTCCGATTCCTTGAAAGGGGGGTGTGCAGAAGTAAAGATGGAGCCTACAGGGGAGCGCTTTCCTGAACAAAGGCAAGTCCTGATTCTTCTTCTTTTACTGGAAGTGGCTCTGGCAGGCTGGGAACCCCGTCGCTATTCTGTGATGGAGGAAACAGAAAGAGGTTCTTTTGTGGCTAACCTGGCCAATGACCTAGGGCTGGGAGTGGGGGAGCTAGCCGAGCGGGGAGCCCGGGTAGTTTCTGAGGATAACGAACAAGGCTTGCAGCTTGATCTGCAGACCGGGCAGTTGATATTAAATGAGAAGCTGGACCGGGAGAAGCTGTGTGGCCCCACCGAGCCCTGTATAATGCATTTCCAAGTGTTACTGAAAAAACCTTTGGAAATATTTCGAGCTGAACTACTAGTGAGAGACATAAATGATCATTCTCCTGAGTTTCCTGAAAGAGAAATGACCCTGAAAATCCCAGAAACTAGCTCCCTTGGGACTGTGTT